ATAATTGTGCATATTGCTGGAATAAATCCATGTTAGATTTTTATTAAAATTTGGGTCTTGAAACAAAACCAGTCGTGAACCACTGACTTAGGGCACAGGTTTGACCTTTCCTCCTTTAATCTCTGTAACCGAGAAGGAAAAGAGCGAGTGAGAGAGAAAAAGGAGGAACAGGAGAATCTGTTGGCTTGTTATGTCAAGAGTTATAAATGTGCTTTATAGGGCTCATTATCCAAACTAATGGGCTGGGGGTGACATCCTTGAAATGGACTTTCACAACACAATAAAGGGGCAAGAGAGCGTCTCCCTCCCCTGACGAAAAGTCAGGCCTCGGAATAATTCTCCCCCCAATGCCCAGATTGACTGCAGGACAGATCTGTTTATGTAAATGAAGATTTATTTACTCGGAGGAACTAGCAGAGGAAGCGGAGGGCTTCCAATCAATCGTCATGCAATGGGGTGAAAGAAAGCCATATGGGATACATTTCACAAACCTAATAACACCTGAGGGCAACCGTAGTAGGTCGCTTTTGCTCACAGGAAGCTGCTTCTGAGTCAAGCAAACAAACTACTTATTTACGTAAATGACTGCAGGGCTTAACGATAAGTTTAGACAGTCTAAGATTGTTTTAGGCCAATTGACATAACAGTCAGGTCAATCTTACATTGCATGACGTACATATATTTTTATGTTTTAACTCGAATATTTGTTTTAGTGTTTATTGAAAATTGAGATTGTTAATTTAGCGATTTCAGCTTTAGCTGTATAACTTTCATTTTTTAAAGCAAATTAAAAACCTAATGGATTTTTTATATAAATTCTAGAGTGTATATATATATATATATATATATATATACACATACACACAGTTGTGTGTGTGTGTGTGTGTGTGTAAATAAGTATAACTTTTTTATAAAATATATAATTTTTGTCTTCACAAAAAACCTAACTACAAATAATTTATTAGGTTTTTCATTTGCATTAATGTAAATGTAAACCTAACGGAATTTGAACCTAATAAAAATAAACATTCTACAGAATATATACAAATTTTTAAGCATATAAATGATTTTGATACAAATATCACAACAGTATCAAAAATGATGGAATTATTTGAACTTTGGGCAAGCAGAAAAAAAAATCCTTATTGATTGAGTCCTGGATTGGATTTTGTTCAACAATTTTTTTCGGCAACAATATATGTTTCACAATTATCTGCAGTGTTCTCTCAGTCAGTACTCCATGTAAGTAGTATACAAGTCAGGGTTTCCCATACATTGGTTTATTTGTGGCAGCCCGCCACAATATCAACACTGACCGCCACAAACAGATTTTCCAAAAGGCTTTGACTTCGTTGTATAAACATGAGCACTGTTTCAAAATCAAAACGCGGCATGGGTGTTGTTATATGAATGTATATTTTTTGAAGGGAACCGATTGTCTTCAGAAAAGTTTTGATGTCATTTTCATTTAATCCTTCTTATAATGCCTGATAAAGTAGCGTTCATGAGTGCATTACAGCCGTTACCGGGGAAACTGCTATTTCTGCTGCTCCAAAAGCACCTCCTGCTGGCGGAGAATGAATTTGTACTTTCAATAAGCCCGTCTGCTGTTTTATATTTACATTATATGCATATATATTTCCCCCAGGGGAAGTGCCGCCACACACAGAATGCAAGTCTGTGGGAAATACTGCAAGTGCATAAGTTTCTTCTGTCAGGGTGCATAAAACACTGAAATAGTGCTAATGATTCCGTTTCACTTGCAACCAAGGCCATCATTGGCTTTTTAGATAATCATAAGCATTCATAAATCACCTTCATAAACCACGTCAGTGGCCTCTGAACCAATCAGAGTGATAACCTTGCACCCAACGATGCATGCGTTCAAACTCATTTGAGTTTTACACACTTCTCTGCAAATGTGGTTTTGTGTTGGCTAAACAGATCATATGCTGAATGACACCATGACAGATATTACAAGCAAGAAGCTTATTTGTCTTGGTAAATATTGCATAAAATAGTATGCCATTGTTTTAAATCACTGAAAAAAATCTGTGTACACATTAATTCACGTATGGACAAAAGAGAGTATACTGATTATTAAATAGAAATATTTGAATATGAATAAATTTTTTTACACATTTTGCACGCTTCAAATGGAAACTACATTTTTTCATTTTAGTATTGCTTGCTCATGCAAAACAAAGTTATTCACAAATAGCGGTATCTTTTGCATTAAATTTCCAACTTGGATAGTCAACAGCATATGGGTTGGGTGCTTTCTTCAATGTAACCCCGAAAAAGGTATTTTATAACTAAGCAGAAGAAGAAACCACGAGTGACAGAAGAAATCATCACAGGCCACTCAAACGGTTGAGTTTTGTTGACGTGTGAAATTAATTCGGACAAATGAATACGGACATGTGATTGAGTTGCCTGTCGAGGCGGCAACAAAGCGGACAGCGCTGGACCGTTCCCGCCGCATGGAGTGGCAGGTGGGATTTGAGGGTCTGTAATCCTCTGCTGCATTATTAATCTGACTCTACCCTTTTCTGCTTTATGTCTGTAATAAGAGCAGACATAGGGCGGTAATTTATGATGCCAGGGAAATTAAAATCATTGTTCAGCCTGCCAGACACCTTGCCAGCTTTTTTTTTTCTCACCTTCATGAAACTTTTTCCATCGATGATGTATGGCGCTAACCTCCAGCGCAGGGCTGACTCCACACGGGGCGCCACTGGTGGAGGGCATGGACGGTCCACGCTACACTCTAGGCGATGCTTTATAGACTGAGCTCAGGGTCTAACGGACACCTTGGTTTGGAGCTCTGCCAGCTCCCACCCCAAATCCTCACCAGCCCCAGTCAGCTGAGTCTGGCTCCAATCCAATATGGATGAAAGAATTTGCCTTGAAACTTCTAAGTGCTCCAGTTATATTGGGGTTCTTTATTCCATGGCATTGGTGGCGATCAGAAAGAACTTACAGTAAATTATCAATTAAGGTCATCTTGGTTGTTTTTCGTATGCTACATTAAGTTTTGAGGAACACTTCTTGCTGGGCCGCTCAAGTAGAACTGACCGTAGGGATGGCTGACGGCATCCAGGGACAGACGTCACATATCAAAACTGACCTCTGTCAAATGACCTACTAAAAGAGTGAATAAAGTATGTTGGGAGATATGTTAGAGTTTAATATGTTAATATGTCAACTACATGATTTTCTGAAAGGTAGATGTTGGTAAGTGCTAGTCATAGAAGGATTGCCACACACAAGATTTTTATTTTTTTTTGCACAGCAGCAAAACAAAAACAACCACTTAAAATATTTATTTCTCTAAAAGTTGGACGGATTTATGAATAGGTACGCATACACATTTTTGCGATTATATTAGATTCTGATTCACCAGCTTTTGCTTTGATTCAATTTAGTTTTCTGTTTGTTTTGATTCATTTTTTATTTGGTTTTATGTGATTTTCATTCAGTCTTATTTCAGTTATAATGTTGAAATATGAAACAAATCCTCTCTGGGGTACTGCTGTAAATTATATGACTCTTCTAGAAAATAAAATATATTTAAATTCAATATTAACTATAATATATAATTACTACTAGATTTTAATAGTATTTTAAAAATGAACAACAGGGTCCAAACTATACTGTATAGTTAAACTGTTATTATAATAATGTTAAAATGATTATACATTGTCCTTTGGTTCACTGGTTGCACTATACGTTTTTTTTTGTTTTGTTTTTTTTGATTCACTAAAAAGAGCTGGTTCATGAGAGTCGTTTGTTCATGAATCGAACTACACTGTTTACTCTGTATGTTATAACTCAATTTGGACTCAGGGAAAATGTGACATATTTTGTCATGGAGCTGTCGTAACAGATGTGCTGCTGCTGAGTATAAGAATGTTTTTTTAATTTTAAGAATTGATACCGAGATCGCAATTAATCAGAGAAGCAATATTTTTACCCAGCCCTAATTGTGGTGATATGCCCGATTACTAGCTTACGAGCAATTTATGATTTTCTGATAAACTACAGGAAAATTCATCTAATTTGAGAGTTGCTGCGCCGCCATTATACGCCATAGCCTTTACAATAGTAAGCTAATGCTATCACATGTGTAAGTGTCCGTGTGCTACATCCAGAGGAATCCAAGCCCCCTGGGTCATTCAACAGCAAGATGAAAGAAACTCAATATATTGCCAAAGAGAAGGCCAAAGAATGAGAGAGGAATAAAGAGAGGGGAAAAACCCCAATCTAACCTAGTTTATGACAACAATCCACCTTTGAAATTCATTAAAGGCCTTTCTGGTGGGGCCTGACGCACATTATCAGCACAGATTAATCAAGGGAGACGGGAGATGAACTCTCATTTTTTAAGAGGCAGCAACAGAGGGCTTTTTTGTCTTCAGATGAAAATCAATTAGTGGAGGTAAGGCCACGAGGAAAAAGCGGCATCACTCATCGCCGGCCCAAGTGGCAGAGTCTGTGATTTGTCTTCCCAGCTCGGCTGCTTAAGGGGGGGCTGGTACCGCTGTCTCCCTGAAAATTAATTTCATATCTATATTCCGAATATCCCCCCCATTCACTCATGTGCGCCATCTCTTGGCCTTGTTTTCGAGTACCCTGTACACAAACGAGCTCTGATCAGCCTTGGGATACTGAAGTGGCGTGAATCAACCAGAGGAGGAAGTAAATCTACTTACCTAATTGAATTTCTGTGTCTTATGAGTTTTTTTTTTTTTTAAATGTGTGTTAATGTATGAAAACTGAATCAGTGGTGAGCTACTTACTTGTTTGCCGCCTTGTCCACAACCAGGCACTGCACTGAGTGCCGCAGACAATAAATTCCTCCAAATACGGCGCACATTCTGCAGGGAGACAAAATAGTAACACCTTACATACACTTGAATCCATTTATATGACATCCAATCTGAATGGACCCACTAAACAGCCGTAATTGCAGCTGATAGCATGACATTAAAAGGGATGGTCACACCTTGTCCACACGAAAAGGACAAAATCCAATTCATTTGACAAGGCAAAAATGTCACCAAGATTTTAAAATGTGTTAACTTCACAAGTTAAGCTTTTTGTCATATAGTCTTGCAGTTTTGTGGGGATAAAGCCTGCAGCTTAATATAGACAAGGACAAAGTGATTCAAATGTTCTTAAAAAGCTTGGAGACAAACTTAGACAGACAAAGAGGCACAGACACCAAGATGAATGGTCAGACCGACAGTCAGACAGAAGCTGTGATGTAATAGCCGACATACTTTGCGTGATTGCACATTTGTTGAATTATTTATAATGATACGAATAACACTTTTATAATAAAAGTAACTGTTCAGATATTGGTGTCCTTTAACATACTGCTATTTCTGCAGTTTTACAAAGGCAACAAGCCATTAGTGGCTGAGTTAGTGATGCTTTACATGATTACACTCTAAACCATAGTAAAAATTAGTGTACTGCACATTCTCTCATGGGTTATTCCATAAAAATACATTTAATTAAAATAAATAAACAAAGATGATTTATTTATTGATTTATATTCATGATTTATTTAAAGAATTAAGATTTATATTTTAAAGTAAAAGGCCATAAGATTTTAAAATGTTTTTGAAAGAAGTCTCTTATGCACACCAGGTTGCATTTATTTGATAAAAAAAAAAGTAAAAACACACAGTAAAAATATTGTAAAATATTATTACAATTATAAATAAATGTTTTCTGTTTTAATATATTTGAAGTATATTTTAAAGAAGTATTTCTTATTATTACCAACGCTGAAAACAATTGTGCTGCTTAATATTTTTGTGTAAATATATATTGTCATTCAAGATTCTCTGATGAATGGAAAGGCCAAAAACAGCATTTATTTGTAATAGAAATCTTTTGTAAGACTGTAAATGTCTTTACTGTCTCTTTTCAACCGTTCATTGCTGAATAAAAGTATTTACTTATTTCAAAAAATACTAAAAATCATACTGAACCCAATCTTTTGAGTGGCACATATACAGTATCTCACAGAAGTGAGTACACCCCTCACATTTTTGTAAATATTTTATTATATCTTTTCATGTGACAACACTGAAGAAATGACACTTTGCTACAATGTAAAGTAGTGAGTGTACACAGTACATGTTGGCATTCATGGTTCCCTCAATGAACTGTAGCACTCATGAAGCCCCAGACCATGACACTCCCACCACCATGCATGACTGTAGGCAAGACACACTTGTCTTTGTACTCCTCACCTGGTTGCCGCCACACACGCTTGTACTCACTTCTGTGAGATACTGTATATATATACACACATACATATTCACCTATATCAGCTTTTTAGAATGATTTCTGAAGTGTCATGAAGACTAGATTAGGCTGCTAAAAATTTGCGATCACAAGGATAAATTACATTTTTTAAATTTGTTAAAATAGAAATAACAACTCTATAATTGTTTTCTACTGTAATAATATTTCACAATATTACTGTGTTACTGTATTTTTGACTAAATAAAAACAGCCTTGGTGAGCCTTAAGAGCCATAGGAGACCTCTTTCAAAACATTAAAAAAATCTTAATTATTCTAAACTTTTGACAAGCAGAGTATATATACATTAACAAGGCATAAATATAGACCAAAAGAAATCCATCCATCCTGGGTGTACACCGCCGCCACCTTGTATGTAATGGGCAAGAAGGCAAGAGGTTAGGTATTAGGCATGTATAAGCATGTCTAAAAACACAGATGGTGAGATTTTGCTGTTCACTCCAAGCTCAAGAAACAGGGCAGGAAAAAAAAACTTCTGGCCTTGTCTGCCCAGATTAATATAGAGACATGGTATCTTAATAAAGTGCACAGATAAAAAAAAAACAGAGAGGCTAAATCTGCCAGCAATCATCTGGGCCCGTCTCCTGTCCTCTGCAGAACCCCATAGAGGCAGCGTGGAAGCCCTTTGATGTCATTAACCCTAACTGACAGACGTTTAAGCTGATATTACTCTAATTAACTGCCCGTTGTCGGCCGCAATGATGCAGTCGGGCAGAGAGCGTGGGCACTGCCTTTCCCTCTCCAGGCCCCAGCACTCGCCCTGGCGACATCACTCGCCATCACGGCTAAATTAACAGTTGTGAAAATCCAGTACCCCCACAAACCCCTGCTCTTTATAGCCTCTAAATGGCATTTCAGTTCCTATCAAGACGGGAATCAGGGGACGTGATTTTTTAATACGGTAGCAAAACAATGGAGGCCATTAATAGCTCAACGCCGTGACAGCGCGCTCACCGATGATTTATGAGTTTGTGTATAATTTGATTATGCTATTAATTCCACTGATTACAGCTGCAGCGAGTGTGGAGAAGGTCACATCCAAAATAAATCTTCAACAACTCCCTCTTTCTCGTCACCTAACACCCTACCCCCCTTCACCCCACCGACATCCCCACAAAACAACTGCCTCCAACTAGTTATTTCTGTAATTAAAAAGTAATGTAACAAGAAGCACAAACAAGCTTCGGGCTCTAATGGCAACATCACGGCAGAGCTTCAAAATAAATTGAACAGAGCCTTGTATGGACAGAGGCTTTTTTCATGCCGCAGGAAACGCAATGGTATGATATCCTAGTGTTTTCAGAGATAACAGGTTGAAATAGCTGAAGGCTGCAATCCATAATGAATTTCACTTTGCGAGTTAAGATGCTCTACTTTGTGTTATTGATATTGATCTATAAAAAGGATATTAAGGTAAAATAAAAAAATGGACATTCTTAAAGCTACCTGGTACTATAAGTCTCAATTTGTGCAACAATATTGAACGCATACTAGTGTTCAAAAGTTTGGAGTCAGTAAGATTTTGATGTTTTTCTAAGTAAACAGTAAGATTGTGAAAAAGTGTCACATAATCCTTCAGAAATCAAATCTAACATGCTGATTTGGTGCATAAGAAACATTATTATTGTTAAAAACAGTTGGACTGCTTCATATTTTTGTGGAAACAGTGATACATTTTTTTTCAGGATTCTTTGAGGAATAGAAGGTTCAAGAGAACGGAATTTAATGACATTTAGACATTTAACAGACGCTTTTATCCAAAACGACTTACAAATGAGGACAATGGAAGCAATCAAAATCAACAAAAGAGCAATGATATGCAAGTGCTATAACAAGTCTCAGTTAGCTTAACGCAGTACACGTAGCATAAGACTCAAACCACTGAATTTGAAACAGATTTTTTTTTTGTAACAATGCAAAAGTCTTTGCTTTCACTTTTTGATCTATTTAATTCAACCTTGCTGAATAAAATAAGTAATTTCTTTCAAAAAATGTTTTGAAAGGTAGTGTAACTAAGTATATAACAAATATATAAGATAAATAATACATTTGAAAGATGAACTAAAGATAATTTAACAATTAAAGATCAATTAAATTCATCATTATTGATGAATTTAACCCCATTTTATGCACAAATGCACCTACTCACTCCTTCAGGTTAATTAAATTAGTATGTTTAAATCTTAAAATAGGCAGAAACTATTAGATTATTCCATGTTTTCACACTGTGTTGTGTATGAGTCCCTCAATTGTTCACAGTGTGAAAAAATGGATCTCAAAATCCTAGTCATTGTTGTAAAAGGTTTAGGTATGAAGAATATGCTGGAAAACCAAAGCATGTGAAGGACCTGGATGATTTTTCTGAAGAACAGTGGGCCGTTTAACTGCTCAGGAGGGACTCGTGAGCAACTTGTGAAACTCATTATAAAACAAAAAAAGTTGTGAATCTTCCAATTAACGGCAACAAGGTAAAGTTCCCACAGCACTGTGAATGTTTAATGGGATGTGTTCAATAAAAACATGAACGATTATAATTGTGGTGTTTGTCTGTACATTAGGGCTGAACGATTAATTGCATTTGCGATAATATCGCGATATTAGGCTGCGATTACACTCGGTCACGTGACACGCAAGAGTAAAGAGGTGTGTTCGACTTGAAGATCGATGGGTGTAGCCTATGACATCAAAGTACGGCGAGAGAAAGCATAAGGAGACGTCCGCGCTCTCTAATAGCTCTCGCAGTACTTTGATGACACACACCCATCGGTATAAGCAGCACTGCTTTCAAGTCGAGCACGGGCCTTCAGCAGAAAAAAGAAGAAGAAATAAAACAGTAAACAGCCAAAGGACGTAATTAGAATGGGAGATGGATCGGTTTGTGAAAGCGAAGAGAAAAGCCATAGATGAAGTCGCAAAGAGTATAGGTCTTCTATACTCAGAGGCGGAGTACATTTTTTGAGTATCTGTACTTTACTTGATTATAATTTTTTCTGGGAACTTATGACTTTAACTTCACTACATTTGATTTCACTGTCCACTCTGTTCAAATTTGGATGAATGGCTACACATAGATGTGTTCACACTGTCAGAGCTGTGTGAGATCACTACCATCCTGCTTTTGTGGGGGTGGGTAGGGGTGTTAAATTTCTTTCCCC